AAAATCAAACTTTATCTAATATAAACTTAGTATTGTCACTGTTCAATATATAAAATAGCTCAATAAATGTGATGAAACTAGTGCAAAAGATAAGTAATTTCATATTTATTATTCAAGCGCGTACGTTCTATCGAAAAAATATTCTAGGATTATCCGAATAATATATTTCATATTCCTTATGGAAAGATTCTTTAAATAAAATAAGCATAAAAGTTTAATAAAGCTAACTTTGTATCTGTTAAATATATAAATATCATTATGCTAAAAGCAAGTAATCGCAAATATATATTTTTCGCAAAAAAATAATGCTCGAATCTGGAGGTAGTACAGAAAACTACTCACAAAGAGGACAAGGACATCTTGCTTAAAACGGACGCATTGGACTGCTTGCTTGTTAGTTATCACGAACAAATATCATATAATTTATGTGTTGTGTATTACTTCTTAAAGAAGTTGATAAATATAACAATATTTATTATATAATCATGATATGTAGCATGTTTTTTTGAATCCTTAGAACATAACCTCTCTTTTGTACCGTATAACGTGGATTTGCATAACACGCTAGTTTGTATACGTTATTTAATTTATTATTAGTTGTTTTGTTATTTTTAAGTGAGTTTAAATAGTTTTATTTAATTAATGTCTCTAGGATAACTTATATGTGGTAAGAGAAATCACCTGAAACTTAACACTGGCAAGATATAAACAATATAAAAATAGTTCAAAATGATAACTGAATGAGGAATAAATTAAATTCATAGTTATTTCAACTCTAGTGCAATGTATAAAAAATAATCTGTTACCAATTATAACTCAGCGTGCATCAATTTTTGAATAAGTATATAATTTATATAATAGTATATTTTTTAAAATATTTTATATTTTATAGATAATAGATATTTCTGAAAGATCAATACATTTAGAAATGTCCAAAAATCTCTTTTAAATTCATGTTAATATATACACACATATATATATATATATATATAAAATTAGTTATTTATGTTATTAGTTAATTATGATTTAGAAAATTAATTACTTAAAATGAATAGCGGTAAACAAAGAATACAAACAAGAGTTTATTTATTATCTATATGTATTTATTTAGTTTGTAGTTCAGTTGAAACTTCATCATGTTCTATTTTGTTTGTTTACTTAGTTCATTCTTATATAACATGAAAGCATGATAAGGAAAAATTGCTGTCATGTATGTTTTACTCAACTTATCAATAAATTTTATCATGCGTTATTGACAACTGGGTGGACTCATTTTCGTTGGACGCATCCATTTGTTATAAGCGTGTGAATAGTGTAAATAGTTCTTTTGTATTGTGTTTATTTGACTTATTTATTTAAATTTTCTTTGGTTGCAAAAAATAATTTTGATTGTATTTCAAATATAACTTTTAAATAACTTGTTTTGGAATAAATTTAGTCATTCATATCTGATATAGATACATTTTTATGTATATATATATATATATATATATGTGTGTGTGTGTGTGTGTGTGTGTGTTTTTGTTACTATAACAGTCAATTGACATACGTATTGGCATACTTTGGTCTTAATCTTAATGTTAATAATTATAGTTATGTATGTACACTACAAGGGGAGAAAGGCTATATATAATAGATAATCTGACTTTTAGCTGAACCTGGATCATCTGGCATGACATACATTCTGGGATCCGTAGGCACTCAGACTTCTAACTCTCATGCCATATAAGGCTGACTATGACTAATTACCAATTGTGACATACACTTTTGTATATGAGGATCCGCTCTTCGAACGGAGTGTGTCTATCTTGTACGGTGGAGCGATCTTGTACATTTATGATCATGTTTGTATATCATCGATATACTGAGTCCCAGAATGTAACTAATGATCCCAACTGTCCTAAAAAATAAAAAAAAACTTTCTCACGTTGTTTGCAAAATATGGGCCTTTAAGTGAAACCTAGAGCTTTGGTAAAATTATGATCATTTCTAGGTTATTGTGGTTAATTTTTATTAATTTTGTTCATTTAAACTTTGGAACTATAACCGTAAATAACAGTTTCAGGACTACGATAAAAATAATAGTACAATTGCCTTAAGTTTTCAAAAATTAAGACTTTTGTTGAACTATGAAATTAATTTTTTTTAAAATTGGTCGACTATGATATGTCATCGTTTAACATGTCATCATAAGTGTGTTGGCAAGATTTACCAAGATTTAGCGCATTTAATCAGGATTGTAAAATCCTAATTATTATATTAGGTATATATAATATTATACCTATTATTATTGAAAAATTTCGAGTAAACTGCTAACGTATTTCGCTCACATTTAGTTCAAGTGTTTCTCTCTCGCACATGATGCAAGCGCGTATGACAAACATTTGAACTAATTGTGAGTAAAATGCACTAGCAAAAATCATGTAATTTTTAGATTTTTAACTTCCCGTAGGGTAGTTATAGTAATGGGTCAAAAATCGAAAATGAAAATTTTTGCAAATCTTCACGTTTTGAAGGTTTCTGAACATTTTGACCTCAGATAAAATGGATGTGTGTGTGTGTGTTTTGTATGTCCGCATTTTTTGTCCACGTTTTCGGGCGCACGGATCAACCGATTTGAATGGTTCAAAAAACATTTAATTCCTATTGATAGGGAGATGTGCTGATTAATTTTTGGCAAAGGCAGGTCCAGCCGTTACGGAGATACGGAGCATAGAGTGCACAAAATACAAAACGATTTGAATTATCTAAAAACATTCAATTTGTAATGATTGGAAGAAGAAGTGATTAGTTTTTGGCAAAAACAGGTCCAGCCATTTCGAAGACACAGAGCTAATTGTGCAATTAATCTGTTTTCATATTTGTTGATTTTAGTATGCGATCGCGCACTCCTTTTGTTTACATTTTAATAATACCCATCCTGTTCTCCATCTAGATACTTGTTTAGAATATTTCTGTAGAAGTGTCACATGTTTTTTAGTACTGAGTCAAGCATTGCAAGGAATAGTTGGTGTTTTTTGTATATCAAAAATTAAATGCAAATTAAATAAAATATTAAATAAGGTGTAGTATACAAGTAACTGTTTTTGATATTACACTGAAGATGATGCATACCATAGTCTCGAAACGTATGTAATTATTAAATAAAGTGTGTGTTAAAAATCTGAGTGCTGCATTGTTCATATTTAACATTTAATATTCTTTCTACTCATATCACAAAATTCTATTATATATATATATATATATATATATATATATATATATATATATATATATATCTTATATATAAAAATGGCTCTCGATCAAATGATTCGGTAAAACTCGAAAATGGCTAAACCCGTTTGGCCAATCGTAGTCTTGAAAAATTTGTGCCAATCCAGAGATGGTCAGAAAGGTGAGATATTATTCCAAAATCGCGTAGAAACTTTACATTTTTAATTTAAAAATTTGTGTAGAAGCGTAATTTAAATAAAACAGTGGACGGTGGCTAATACGTGAAATGTCAAACATTTTTGACAGATGATGTTCAATTACATTTAATAGGATGTCTTACGTGAATATTATTTAATTATGATTAAATTGTAGTAAGTAGTTCTGTTTGTAGCTTTATTTATATACAAAAACGTTAGTAAACGGGTCGCAAGTGTTACTAGAGACTCAAAATATCAACTTTTTTGAAATGTTAATATGAAAATGCACTTTTTCGCATATTTTGCTCAAACACGAGGCTCTGAAAGATCTCATTTGTATAATTATATACTCATTGGTATTTATAAAACATTTTCTAGTTTATATTATTTTTTATTTGCGTTATTTAAATTCAGAACCTAAAGGGACATTTTGTCGAATAACATTTTCCCAGTTATAATTTCCCAGAATTTATCGAAGAATAGATAGCAATATATGAAGGTCCGGTGTTAAAAAGGTCCATCAACAATGTGTCAAAAACCAGTAAAGTTAATCATTGTTTAACAACAATATTTGAAAGTAGAGGGAAAAAGATGTATAACCTGCTGCAACCTTGATTTGAAAACTTTGCTATCGGGAGATAAACGGTAATCTTTGAAAATCCATAATAAAAGTATTTTCTTCTGTTGGTAGTTTTTTAGCATTAGTTAAAAATGTAATTATTTTATAAAATACCTTTAAAATTATAATAAGACTTTAAACCTGTTTACCACCTGGCCGTTCCAAGTTACCCCGCCTATAGGGTAAAAAGGTCTAGATAACAAATTTTTGAAAGACATAAAAAAAGCACATTTGTACAATGATGAATTAGAAGGCAGTTTACTGAACGTAGTCAGATAATTGTTCATTTGAAATTTGTTATTTATTATGATATGATTGTTATGGTTTTCACAATATAGTTTATATTTACTCAAAGTCAAATTGGACCTTTATGCCTCGCCCTGCTCTACATATATATACTTTTTATTAAATTTACTTTAATTCATCGAATGTTACTTGAAACTTTTTAGGAAGCAAGTCAAAGAAGAAATACTCAATTCATTTTCTATCTCTTCTCGCAAAAATTTGAAAATTTTGTATAAGCTCGGTAGTATTATTTACAATTATACACAAAATCCAGAATCTAAAAAGAATCTGAAGAACTTGAAACGTAATTAATAAGTCGAAAGACCAAAAAGACTTGGATGGATTATACTATGTTTTCTATAGAAAGTGTATAAATCTTCCAGTTTGATTGTATTGACAAACTAATGGGATTTATTGTTTTTATAATACTTTATTGTATATAGCATTGAAGCAACACATCCTTATACACTTAAAGTATTAATATTTTTGATTCTCTAGAAATTGTTTAGAATATATCTGGCTTAGCAAAACAATGTTTGCCGGGTATGCTAGTATATATATACAGATTTATACGTGTGTATAAATGTATAAATCGGTAGAAAATAACTGATCTTTTTGTAATTAATTTGCAGGTATCTACTGCCGACTGTATTGCTATGCTCAAAAGCACGTGAAAAATATTCGCGCAGTGACTCGCACCGCCGAACAGAAGGATGACGAGACCACGCGCTGTCCCGCCGTTCGCTGCAAACACAAGCACAAAGTCAACCAAATGTCGACGAGCAACCACCAGCACAGGTCCCATCATCACAGCAGCCCATACCACGTTAGCGATCACAAGGTGGGCGCCCTGATTGTTGCAATCCTACTATTGCATCCGAATTGCTTACTCACGGATTAATTGTAATCGTATATTGATGGACGTCTCTAGAACGTGAGCTCAATCATGTTCGCCAACATAGGGATTTAGATAAAGATGAGGAATGTGTATAGTATGATAAAAAAGCTAGATCCTTCTTATTAGCCACATTTGGTTTGGAGATAAATTGCAGAAATATTAATTATTATTCAAGAATAAAGTTACTTCTTATTAAATTCCCGTAGAAGTTTATGTTTTCATCAGAAAATCCGACTCGCTAGTTTTATGTTTTCTCGACGTTTCAAGCCTTTCTGAGTCGAATGAGACCAATTTGGAAAAAGTATGTGTATGTGTGTGAACAGATTTTTATTTTAATTTCATCGAATTAAAAATTTTTGATAGTAACGTAATTTAATTTTAATATTATTTCTTAGTTAAAATAATTTTATTCTTTAATTTAAAAAATAGTGTTTAGAATAAGGTAACTTAATTAGGTAACTTGTATCATATAAAAGTCCAAAAACTCTATAAACAATATTTTTTTTAATATACTACAGCTTGAATAATATATATATATATATATATATATATATATATATATATATATATATATATATATATATATATTATTATTATTTTTTATTATTATTATTATTAATATACTACAGCTTGAATAATATATATATAATTCTAGCTGAGAATCTTGACATTAACGGACAAGTTGATGTAATTTACACTGATTTTAGTAAATCTTTTGATAAAATAGATCATAATATACTTCTTACTAAATTATCTAAAATTGGTTTTAATACTTCATTTACTTATTTCTTTAAAAGCTATCTTCAAAATCGTAAACAGTTCGTTTTTCTTAACGGATTTTTGAGTAACTTTGCAACTGTCAGCTCGGGTGTGCCCCAGGGGTTCACCCTTGGTCCTCTTTTATTTAATATTTTTATTAACGATATATCGTGAGTAATTAATTGTCCTCATCTATTGTTTACAGATGATCTCAAGTTATATCTTGAAATAAACTCAATAGATGACTGCCTAGTAATGCAGTTTCAACTAAATTTATATCACTCCTGGTGTGATCAAAATAAACTGGATCTGAATATTTCTAAATGCAAAATTATTAGCTTCACAAACAAACGTGTTCCGACGCATTTTGATTATAAAATTTCTGACACCTACATAGAAAGGTGTGATGAAATATCTGACTTAGGCATTATATTTGATTCTAGTTTGACTTTTACAGATCACATATCTAATATATGTAACAAGGCGCAAAAATCATTAAGAATAATATTAAGAAACTGCAAAAAATTTGAATCTAATATGTCACTAATTAGCATATACTATGCAATTGTGCGTTCAAAGCTGGAGTATGGATCGATCATTTGGTATCCTAACCATTGCAATAATTCAGATGCGATAGAGAAGGTTCAAAAAATTTTTTTTAAAATATCTATATTTTGAAACGCACAAAATTTACCCTGAACGAGATTTCGACCACAATATTTTACTTAATGCATTCTGCGTATCATCCTTGCTACACGTCGTTTCACTGACAGTATTTTTTCTGTTCCTGTATAAACTATGTAATAATGCCATAGATTGTCCTCAAATTTTAGACTAACTATTCTTTAACGTTCCTAGACTCTCATCACGAACTCAAATGTTTTTCAAATATCCTACTCCTAAGACTAATGCTCTATTAAACTCACCTATAGTGCTAATGTCCTCTAATTTCAACTCAATTAATAAAGATATAGATATTCACAATACTTCAGTAAAACAATTAATTACCATCTGTAGAAGTTAATCTTGATATTTTGTCATGAATAAGTTATTTCCATCATATATAATTTTGTGTTACCGTTAAGAATTTGATAGTTTTTTTTATTTTGTGTTACGTATTGTTATGTTACGAATTTATTATGTTATGGTTGGTATATTATATATTTAATATATATTAAATATTAATTTAATGTTATATAATATATAATATTATATATATATATCAATATATATATATATAATGAATTATATATATATAATATATATATATATATATATATATATATGAATACTTAACAGAAAATTTTATAGTTATTGGCACAATATATAAAACATTAATTATTAATTTTGTTTAAGTACGGATTAACTTTCTCTAACAAGGCTACACATTATTCTGAAACATATAAAATGTATGTGCGAATGTTTATAAAAACAATTCATAGAATCTTATAGCAAGGGACAAGGGCAAATTTTATCAATTTGCTTACATTTCAAAAATTTCTGTTTTTCCCTTTAGCCATAAATATACCTATGAATTGGTTTTCAATGTTTGTTTTTTTTTCATAAATTGGTCACCTGATCATTTTTACTTCATAGGTAAAACAGGATAGTCAAGGAGAAAACGATTTATCATTTATTTTTAATTTTAAAAAGGTTTTATGGGCTTTATTTTATTTTGAGATAATGGTGGTGAACCATTTACCTCCAGACTTTTAAGCGTCGCTTTACCTTAATATACGCTACACCATTATTTGATTTTTTTTTTCAAATTTTGTTTAAAATTTCTAAATCAGTTCTAAAAACAAGTTTCCACAATTCTAACGACAAATCTCAAAAAAAATAGTAAATACTTACTCACTTAAATTGAATAAAAGGCTACTTTGTTAACATTATTATGAATGCTATGTGATTTATAGTTAATCCCACGTATAAATTATTTTAGATATACCTATTTATTTCTCACTTTTAGTTCTTTTTTACAAAGACAGATATAATTCAGTTCTATTTTATTTTTATTATTTAAATATGTTTTCTTACTATATTTACTATATGTGTGTGTGTATTGTTGAGTGTATATATATAATATTTAGTATCAATAATAATCACATTTTCACAATGGAAATGTGACAAATGCATGAAAATTTATCAAACTCATAAACATACGAGAAGTATCTGCTTCATTTGAACATGAATTGCTACTCATTAAAAACTTAGCTTTAATATAAATTTTTATCTTCTACTGCAATTACCTAAAGAAGAGCATCGGTTATAATTAGTCTACATTAAAATTTAATTCTTCGGTGCTGAAGCTTGAGAAAAGATAAAAAAATCAGTTTATGAAACATAATTACATCGAAAGTTTTAAAACACAAAAGCTTATTTGTTCTATTACTTGCATTTTATTTGATTTTGAGATTATAAATTTTACTTATTATTTAACAAACAACGAGGATAGTATTTTTTATTAGACAGATTTATATATAAATTTGCGCAATTAAAGTATAACGTTATAATTTTATTGTTAAATAATATTATAACAAATATATTTATAAGGCTGCGCCGAAAACGCTGTTTCTTATATTTTAATTAATATGCACCCTACCGTTTTATTTGCTGTTAAGGTTAATACCATGGTGTTTTATACCTTTTTTACAGAAAATTCTCACCATTTTAACTTAACTATCTTCCTACGGTAAGCATAAATCTTATGTAGATTTAGCACTATTTAATATTGTGAGAAAATCTATTTTTTTGAAATTTATTTTATCAATCACGGCACTTTAATGCAAAAGAAAATTTTTTGATAATATAATCTTCTCCAAACAATCCGAAAAATTGTAGTGTTCATTTTCGTTTCATTTAAATTTATTTTAGAAATAAATATAAAAATCTAATAATAAAAAATATTAACTTATCGGATATTCATTACAATCTGATGTTTATCACTTTTATAAAAAATATAGCATTTACATTTTAACGAATTTTGTTGCTATTTACATTCATATTATGTAGAATATAATTAGCATTCTTATGTTCAGAAATTTTTATATATACCTATATATAAATATATATATATATATATATATATATATCTTAGTTAATAATTTGTGCAATGCTCTTAGCTAGAAATTCAAATATAAAATGCTATTTATTTTCAACGTAATATTTTCTTGCTAATAGCTTATGCATATTTGATATTTTTCTAAATAATTCATAACTCATGCAATGCATTAGTATATATGTATATATGTAATATGTAATAGGCAAAAAGATACACCTTTTCAATTTAAAAGATTTTATGACTATCATAGTAACATTACTTAATCAATGCGATGCCAGCTTAATCAAAGTAGAAATATGTTTTTTTTTTTTTTTTTCCAAAAAATTATCTTTTGGTCTCTTTCTACCCCATGGACAAGACAAAAAGGGATAATCAGGAGGCAAAAAGATACACTTTTTCAATTTAAAAAAGATTTTATTATATGATAGTACCATTACTTAATCAATCAATCAATGCTCTTTAATTGTTAGGTTGAAAGACAAAGTTAAAAATCATAATCTATGTATTTTTAAACATAATAAACAAATAAAAAGAATCAACTCTGACTGTTATCATAAAGCATGTTTTTGTAAGAATTTCTGTTTAATTTATCATAATCAGACACATTGTTTCTTCAAATACAATTATTACAAATTGAGTGAATACACCTTCTGTTTGAAATACATAGTTTGATAGGCACATTTTTTAATAAGATTGCTCTGAATTACTTTTATATGAAACTTTGTCAAAAGAATTTATCATCAGACTTGGAATAGCTATTATTAATTTATGTAAATATGTATATATATATATATAATATATATATATATATATAATTCTGACATAAACATTTTGTAATATTCTGGTGGATCTCATCTATCATCAATTAACGAGAATGCAATGATCTAATTTGTAGGCCGCCATAACAGTGGGTGTGATAATGGGAGTCTTTCTAATATGTTGGGTTCCATTCTTCTGCGTCAACATCGTGGCAGCTTTTTGTAAAACCTGCATACCCGATCTCACATTTAAGGTAAGTAAACTTTATATTTATTTATGCCATTAGCGAACTCGTTATGAATAAATTAGTGATTTTTAAGTGATGCGATTTTTTATATTATGACTCCATTTTATTTTGATATTAGCAAGTTGAATTTTTTTAATAAGCCTGACATAAATTATTAAATATTTTATGTTGACTTAATTATTTTAATTTAATACTGTATTAAGAAGACGT